AAGTTTAACTTGATGATGAGTGGTATAGAGTTGTGTTCTTGATATAAGGTGTTGAATCAAACGATTTGTTGAGTCTAGGTAGATCTTAGGTATGTGCCAAATTTGAGTTTGGTAAAGATTGTCTAAACTTTGTATTGGCGGGCAAATGCAAGATGTAGGTCCACCTTAAGTGAATTTTAAGAATGATTGATATATTATTTGGATATGAATTTTTTTGAGGTTCGCTATCTAATGAATGATGCCATTTGATTAGTGCTTGAAATGCATTCGAAAATGAAGCCATATGATGTATGTGAAGTGCATTCAAAAAGGATGTATGATGAGTCATATGATGATGTCTTGAAGGGTATGCAAAGGAAAAAGGATAATCCCTCACATGGTTTTGATATTTTTGTCAAGGATTTCCTTAAATTGACCATCCATAAAGAACTATGTAATTGTCCCAATTAGTAACTTGATTTTTAGATGTGCTCGTGCTAAAGTACCATGGGTATTTCTGGTGGGTACCTTCTTCCTTCGGGGTGTGTTATTTTCTTGTTTTACTGGGCTTGCCATATGGTATTTCCTCTTTGCCTGCTTAGTGAGCCAGAGGCATGTAATTTATAGTGATTAAAGAAAAGTTGGTCATCTGCTTTTTCTGCCTTGAACTCTGGTAAGAGGTTGATGTGTTAGCCATATAATCTTCTTATTCATGATATGTGCTTTGTAGGTTGATTTTGTAGGAGACTTTGTAGCATGGTGGTCTCGTGATGAAGTGACTTTTACTTGACCTTCTTGATATGCGAGCATGTCGTGCACAAGGAATTTTTCATTTCGGGTATTGTCTTGTTGATGTTGGTTTTCTAGACATGCTTGATTGACTTCTCTGGGAGGTGTGAGGTATAAAATACTTCGTTGAAAGGTAGTTTTATTGGGTCCTGAACATAATGAAAGTTCTCTGAGATTTCCCGTCTTGTGTGGAAGGTACAAGTTGATGAATGAATGCCACCCCAGGATGTAAACAAGATTGAGATTGGCTTTTGGATATACGAGATCATGGTTGAGATTCTTTTTCCTAGAAAGGGTGGCTTGTCTTGGGTTCTTTGTGGATGTATTTTGACTCACATTGCCCCTTCTTTGAAATTTATATTTTGATTGTAAGGTCAAGTAGTGAAGTAACCGCTTCTGAAAATCTTCTCATTTATCGAGGTCCTTGTTTGACCTTGAAAGGATGGTAAAGGAGGTCTTGGTATGATGTAGGCGACTTCTCCTTGGGAATCGAAATAATGAATGTCAAATACCCTTATGTGGTGCAAGCATCGATATTGAAGTCTTATTATCATGGTAGTTTTTGTTTATCTTGAAACCTTCAAGTGATGGATAATGAGGATGATCATGGGGTGGATTTTAGATTGGGCAAACATTCTTGTCTTGGGAGCCCCATCTTATTCGTTTGAGGTGATTAATATGATGACTAGCCCCACATGACTGTGTAGATAAGGTTGATCGAGAGAATGACTCTGCATCACTCTCGTGACCATGTTGACGGTAGATTTGAAATCATCCTTTTCGCCTTTTACAAAATGTAGTCGATAACTTTCACTCGTGACTAGTTTGAGTAATTATGACTTCAAGTTCTCATGCAGGGGTATCTAACGTGTAAGTCCCAGGAGCTTTTTCTATTTTGATTTTTCCTTGCCTTTTCAACTTTTTTTCCTTGCTCCTTTTTATGCTTGGGACTTACTTGGCTTTATAATCCCCCCTACATGTTGTTGTTTTGGCTCTTCTATTTGTGTGCACGAGCACCAAAGATTTAGGAGATTTGTCGATATATCTATCTTTGTGAGCAGTCCTTTTTGATGGCTAGGTAACTTGGCAATTACCGTCCCGAAGAAGACAATTCACTGACATTGAGTCTTTGTTGTGTTGTTTGAGTAGCTTTATAGCGTAAACATTGAATTGGGAGATATAACTATAAGCATTCGACGAAAAATAAAATATTTGCTTATTCATTCGACAACTGATGATGCGAGTTTGTCAAATAGGAGCATTCAACTTCCCCAATCTTCTAGTCACGAGGATTCCATGAGAACTGAGTATTTTGATGTCGGCATATCGATACTTGTGGACCATAATTAGGCTAACCAACCTCCTTTCTTGTCGCATCCTGATTCGATAGAGAAGTTCGAATATGGTAGTGACAAGCTCCTACAAGTAGCCTTATGTCGTATACTCGTTACACCCTTTGACTATTTAGCTCACATCATTTATGAACACCAGTGGGGGGTTTGTTCTCTCAACTATGGTTAATTATGCAAGCCATGGACATTTGTAGTTGCTTGATAGTTGCTTGATATGAAAACCTCATGGCTTAACTTGAAGACAAGAAATATATTTTATGTTTCCCATGTTCATATAAGAAAACTTTTCTTAAAAGAATTGAAAGAGATAATCATCATTTTGAAGAGAGAAAGATCATTGATGCAAACTGCTAGATCAAGATTGATAATAGTCACTTAATGTTCCAAATAGGTGAAAATTTGAATGATCTTTTATTGTTCAACAGTGAATGTAAAGGACGATACATGTTGATTAAGTAAAGTAAGTTGACATTTCTTTGTTTAGTATGATCCATGGAAGAAGCTTTGGCTTGTGGTATGTCTACTGGCTTCGATGATTGGGTAATTGCTTGTGGAGGATGTCTGGGAACCTTGGTTCTTCTTCACCTTTCAAAAAAACTTGGTTCTTCTTCAGTTGACAAAATTTTAATGAACATGCCATTATGATCCTTCATTTCTTTACGTGTCGTCAACCTTCTATTGGTGTCATTAAATTCCTTCTGGAATGACTCTCGAACATGCACCATCTAGAATATAACACTTGAGGGTTGACTTTTTCTTGTGGATGACCAATTTTAGAAAATACTTGATTATGAATTATTATTGTTAAATTGTGTCTTGTTGGGTTGTTGCTAAATGAGATGAATGTATGATATCATGCGAAATGAAATGAATGTGCGTATGCAAGATAATTTTTTGGCGGACGCATGATGTTTGTGAAATTGATTTCATGATTTGTTTAGCATGAATGGAGAACAATAAAAATGAATTAAAATCCTTTTGTGTGCATAATCAAATCACATGGTTTATGAAAATACTATAACGATCAAACCATCATAAGTAAACATACATCAAAACCATAACAAAGAATTCATCATGTCATAAGCAATCATACATCAAAACCATAACAAAGACTACCTATTAAGGTAAACATAGGGTCTTCTGAGGATTTAGCGATAAGGTTCAAGGTTGGTTGGGATAAGTTTCAGATGGCCTAGAGTGGCGTCTAATCTGACTATATGCTGGGTAGGAGTTCGTAGGAATTGGTACCCAAGTTGTAAACCACTATAACCCTTACGAGCTAAGCAACACACCTCAAATCGACCTCGGATTTGAGTTCAACTTGGTTAGGAAGTTTCACATGCCAACCAACTATTGTAGAAGGCACGATACTCCTCTCATTTTCTAAAGTTAGAGCACCGGTATAGAGCTTTTATGTGTGATACAAATAATTTAATACGCGATAAGGTAGTTGCACAAATAAGAAAATAAACACCCAACATACTGAAGAAAATAAGAAGAACTTATCAATTTAAATGTTGTATCGTGACTCAAAAAGTCCCCAGCGAAGTCGCCACTGTCGCAACCGCCCCTCAAGATCAGGGGACCCGTCGTGAATTTCTCAAGTCGCCATCGATCGTATTTGTGGTGGATCGAACACCTTTTGTCCAATTCCTACCTTAGGGTCAGAACCGAGATTTGTTCTGCAAAATTTGTGGTGGATCGAACACCTTTTGTCCAAAATTTTACATGTGGGGAAGTGTATTCACACCGCACAACGCACTAGATCGTTACTACTTAAATCGATATGTTTAAAGGGTTGGGTATATTATTATATGCTCCTTATTGCATGTTTAATTATATGATCCGATTAATTAGGTATTTATTATTACGATTTGATCGTACATCTATTGATGTAAATCTCAAAGGTAAAGAAAGATTTTTTGGTTAGTTGGACTCGAACCTATTGGTTGCCTACGTTCTCGAGTAGTCGGGATCAAAGTCCATGTAGTTCTATTGATACATGATTAAGATAATAATAATAATTGATTTGCTTATCTAAGAGATGTAATTTGGTATTTGTGATTTAAGAGAAAAAAATTTGTTAGTTGGACTTGAACCAATTGGTTGCTTACGTACCCGAGTAGTCGGGATCAAAGTCCACGTAGTTTGTTAGAAACTAAGAGATTTTAAATGTTGAGTTTCGCACGTTGAGATTTGGAGAAATTTTTGATTAGTTGGACTTGAAACTTATTGGTTGCTTACGTACCCGAGTAGTCGAGATCAAAGTCCACGTAGTTTGGTTATATTGAAAGTTTTATGAAGAGATCCTAAACATGTTCTATTGATTGCGATTAAGATAATTTGAGTTGTTAGGAGATGCATTTATGATTTTAATGATTGAATGTTTATATTATCTTTGGAAGAATTTCATCGAGAATGACTAGACCATGATCTCGCATTAGCGAAATCTCTAAGTAAAATAAATATGTGTATGTAGAATGAAGCCAAAATTTAATCAAGGTTTTAATATTTTGAAATATCTAGAAGTAAAAATTCTCAACACCATTGACGATGTAAATTTTGCGTATTAAGCTTACTTTAAATAATATCAAACGAAAGAATCAAAGTGAAATGAAACACTGCGTAGCCTAAGTGGTTAGGCGGTTCACTATGTTTGTTGTGACTTGTGAGCCTGAAGTCTCAGGTTTGAGTTACGTTTTATGTTTTTTTTTCTTTCGCACGGGGGAGTAGCAAGGACGGTAATATTAAGAAAACGCTAGGGGTACTTATACCATTTTAACATAACTAGTATAAAAACCCTTTTTTCGAGACTCTAACCCTAGCCGCTCTCTCCTTCTCTTCTCTCGTTCGTTTTTTCTCGTTCTCTTTAGAAAATAAACAAAAGAGAGAAACAAAAAACAATCCAATTCCAATCACCCGTTCTCGACTTCGCTCTCTTTCTTTCACGACGAACAAAATGAAACCCTACCCTTCCTTTCTAAAACAACCCTATCTCTCTCCATCTCAATCCACCCCCTCCTATCTCCCTCTATAACGATGAGATGGAGGTCACCCCTTCTCCCCCGACGAAGGCGACGACGGCAAAGCGGCAGAGATATTGACGACATCGACTATGATGGTTGGAGGTAAGTACCTGACCGTTGCATGTCGATTTTAAGGTTCGATTTTGCTAGGTTTAGGGATTCTCAATAATTTTTTATGGTTTTGATGGAGGTGAGCGGGAAAGGAAGGAGGAGATGGAGCAGTCGCTGATGGTTCATTCGCGGCACCGTCGGCGACGGAGACGACTTAATATCGTCAACTGGGGTTTTCGATTTGGGATCGGACGAAGGAGATAAGGTGGCCAACGACAAGGTTTGCCTGAGACAGAGGCCTGGCGGTGACGGGCAAGGGTTTTGACACTTTTTTAATTTTTTGGGTTATTTCCTTTTTTATTGGATTCTGATTTCTAGGTTTTGGTGAAAGTGGAACGAGGAAAGGGAGAAGGAAAGGGATTTTGATTTCTAGTTCAAAGCAAAGGATATTTAAGATTTGCCATTGCTAATCTAAAACAATGCGAGTTCTCAACTCCATTTAATTGGAGATCATAATTAGTATATTGCCCGGAAAAAATATGGTGTCTACACATTGCATAGTAGTTCTAAGCTAGGGTGAGGGATAGTTCCCCGAAATACTTGCTTTTATCTTTATTTTTCATCTTAACTAGTAGTTCGCTCATATCCTCCAAAACAAACCCTTAAACCGATTGGCTAGATAACGGCAACGTGGGAAGTATGCTAGGGTACCAGGAACCGAGTGAATACGACCTTGATTGTCACTATACGACAACACCATTTTAGGTTAAACTTGGTCTAGGATGGGGTAGTTGTTGACACATGCTAACCACTGAAAATAATATGCACGAATGAAATTGATCAATCATGGTAGAGACTATCACTTCCTCTTTAACACTATTCTCTTATTGAGCAAATTCTCTTTGAACTTCCCTTAAAGGTGCTCTGGGTGTTGGTCTCAGAACTTTCTTCAATGGTCGACCACTCCTTAGAGTTACCACATGGCATCCTTCTTTCGGGTTAGGTTCTGTGTTACACGATAAAGCTCCTTGAAATTCTTATCGCTAGAGATTGAGCCACGGAGCTCCATTGTGCATCAAGATGTTGAAGTGTTGTTTGATGATTTTTTTTGATCGGTCTCCAAGGTTGTAAACTTGTTTGCGGCATTCTCCATTAACCTATCAATCGTGTCAAGCTTCCTTGTGGTGGTGTTGATGAATTATCCCACCATATCTTCAAGCTTTGTCAAAAAATTATCTGAAGGTTGGCTTTAATCCGAATAAGTACATTGACTTGAAGATGGGTTGCCCCTTAGAAATGGAGCTTGCATCGTTGGTTTCCCTTGAAAACATGGAAGCTCCCTATCTGATGGTGAAGACCATAGGAAATTATGATGATACCTCCATCCCGGGTTGTTGGTAACTCTATATGGGTCCTTGCTTCTTTGTTAGCGTCCAACAAAGTTAGCTTGCTCATGTTGAATCGATGCTTCTACCATTGCCTTGAAATCTTCCCGCACCAATCACATTTCAGCAATTTTTTGCTATTGTTCTTCATAGTTGGTGCAACAAAATCAATTTTCTTAGTCAATTCTTGAAGACAAGCCATCAATGAAGATGGTATTTCAATTTGTAGCACATTGCCCCTTCTTGTACTCTTTCCTCGCCTTCCATCGAAAAAATCACGAAAAAAGAAGGAAAGAGCTACTCCTTACTCAAGTTTCCAATAACCTATAGCCGCAAAAGTAGGAATAATGGCACAAGAAATAATATTGTTTCCATAAAGTAGAGATCCAGAAACAGGTTCACGAATACCATCAATATCTATTGGAGGGGCTGCAATGAAAGCTATATAAAATACAGAAGTTGCGGTCAATAAAGTAGGGATCGTCAAAACACCAAACCATCCAATGTAAAGGCGGTTTTCGGTGTGGTAACTTTAGTAAAAGAGAAGTGAATCTTTCCCATGCTTCGAATAATGGCTCATATTCGTCTTGTTTGAACGTTTGTATTTCACTTCTCATCAATATCGTCTTTAAGTGTGGGATGTATCTTGTGAATAACTTATCACAAAAATCCGTCCAAGAGATAATAGAATGATGTGGATGGTTATTCAACCACTACATTGCCGCTCCACCGAAGGTAAAAGGGGAAATCCTTGGTCTAATAGTCTCTTGAGGGACTCAATTTACTTTAATACCATCTGTAAGCTCATAGAATGCTTTGATGTGAGCATGTGCATCTTCATTTATCAACCCTTTGAATTGATCCGCATATAAAGCATCGTAATCGTCCCCGGACCACGGTTTCATCTCATAATTGTTGTTGGGGATAGTCGGATGAAGAATAGGAGATTGCACATCCCCCACAGTTAGCATCGAGAATGATCTCATCATCCTCAACCTCAGTTGAGGTTGAGGTTGAGTTGGTTGTTGATCCTCCATTGGCTGAGTTTAAAGTCTTGTTGTATCAAGAGGTACTATCTAAAGAGATTCTCTCCTTTGCATACATACTAACTTCAAAACAAAAACTCAAACACCCGTGATGTACAAAGTGGGATAACAAAAAGAAAACAAGATAAAATGACAAATATATATAAGCAAGAAAATTAGACTAAAATAAAAAATCTATGATTTTTAACTAGTTATCGAGGTTCCCCACAACGGCGCCAAAAACTTGGTGTGACCCCGTGTGGGTTATGAATATGTGTTCTTGGCTCCTCCTTTTTCTCGTTCATTTAACTTCTGTCTCTAAGTTCTCTCTCAAAACCCGAATTTTCCAAGTGATTCCTTCTCCCAAATGTGATGAGCCCAAACTCGGGTCTCAATTAGGTTTCAAATTGCACAACCACTAAACACAAAACAGAGTTCACGTGCAAGCTCGGATAAGCTTGTTGAACTTGAATTTGATGGAACAAACAGGAATCCTTACACCTGGAAGGATGCACACTTGTTTTGAGGAAGCTATCGATGCAATCGAGTGTGTTTCTCGATTGATAAGATAGGGTTTCCATAAAGTTTTGATCGCAACCGAAACCAAACTAACTCACAAACTCTCAAGCTTGAGAATTGGGTTAAAACTTATTCAATTGCATTCTTAACTACTTGGGTTACCCACCTAGGGCCATTGTGGGCAAGCCTCAAACATCTATTTAGTGCCATGAACCTATCATGATTGGTTGTTATTTTGCCATCCAGATTAGTTTCCGAGGAAGTGGTCTTAGCAGCCCTTAGTCGATTAGTCAAGAGAGCTAGTTTTATAACTTCCTTCGATATTCATTGATAAATCGTCTATGAGAGTTGGGTTTCTCCACTAGTTGCAACCTCCTCCCGAGTATGAATATACCTTCCCGCATTAGCATTCCTTTCGGTCAATCTTGATACAAAGTAGAGGGAGCAATACCCGGGTGAATTATTTTCATATTGAAACCACCTCAATTTACTTTCTTTGCTTATTTACAAAGGTAGTTCTTTAGCTTTTAACTCCACCTGGGGTTGACAATTAAAACGCTCGCCCTATTCTACAGAACCGAACCATGGTCGATACGACACAGATGTGTGGGAGGGGATTTGCGTGCCGGCCGGTATTTTATGTTGCACTGGCGTACCTTGAGATACCGCCCAGTTTTCATCGAGCCGGCGTTTCTTCTGTCCTCATCCACCTCTAGTCTTCCCTTCGCTCTCGTCACTTCGTATTCTCCCCCCTACACTTGTCGACTGATTTCCCATATGATCCGAGAAGCGATAAGGACAGCGGACTGCGAAGTCAAGGCTCGTCTTCTCCTTTCTGAGAACACCGAGGTCGCGTCGTTGTCTCTCTAGTCTTTGCCGATGTTCCTCCGTCCTCGTCCTCTCTATTCTTCTCTGCCGTTCGTTCCGCCATTCGCCGACCATCGACGAGAAGCCTATCGCAACGACCAGTGATCGTCGCGGATTCGTCTTCCCTTCGACCTTCTAATTAAGTACAGCTTCAGAATCGTACCTTAAGGAGGGTTTTGAATTCTGATAATTAATAATTGATTGTTTATTGCATATGGAAGTGTGAACTGTAACTTAGGAATTGTGGAATAGAAATGATAGTTGATTCTCTAATTATAAATTATCTACGTAGAGTACATCGTGGATTAGAAATGAGTTATTCTTTGATTAAGAACTTATCAATGTAAAATGGTTTGTGAGTTGCTGGTACGATGATTATATCTTGATATTTTACAATTTATTATCTGATATTACTCAGAACGGCACCATATTTTGGCAGGTATTATGTAAATATTTATATTTGGATGACCAATGGCCTACCACATTAGATGCTCACTTGGAAGTTACATGTAACTCCCATTCCTATATTATTATCTCTAATTCATATGCATTGATGTAATGGTTACCAAAGGGTGCCTATAAATAGAGCACACTATTGTATCACAAATGGAGTATAAGAAAAACTATTCCCCTCACTTCTCTTGTGTCTTTCCTCCTCCAATCTTCTCTTGTAGTTGCTTACATTTCCATTAGTTTTATAACACATTATCAGCACGAGACTCTTCCTTTTGAAAAGGTTAAATCCATAATTGTTCTGCTCAAGGTATGTCGATTCTCCCAAATTGTTTCTTTTATTGTCCTATTTCAATTTACATAATTTCCTTTATTAATCAACACATGAAATCTTTGTTTGAGAATGCAAAGGTATAATTTCCTTCTTAATATTTTTTATTTATTTTGAAATTCGAATTTATTTATATATTTGTAAAAATATCAAATTGATATATAATGGGTCACATAAGTCGTTTGTCTTGATAGTAATCTATATTTATTTATTGAATTTTGACTTTAATTTGTGTATATTTTTATGATAGTATGTCGAATCTTTCAAAGCTTGAGTTTGTGGCTCTTGATGTCACTGGAAAGAATTACCTATCATGGGTGCTAGATGCTGAAATTCATTTAGCTGCCAACGGTCTTGGAGACACGATTAAAGAGGGCAATGAAGCATCAGATCAAGACAAAGCTAAAGCAATGATCTTTCTTCGACATCACCTCCACGAGGGATTGAAGAATGAGTATCTTACTGTCAAAGATCCACTTATTTTGTGGACTAATTTGAAGGAGCGGTATGACCACCAAAAAACTGTGATTCTTCCTAAGGCTCGTTATGATTGGATGCATTTGAGGTTACAAGATTTTAAATCTGTGAGTGATTATAATTCGGAACTATTCAAAATAACCTCACAACTACTGTTATGTGGAGAAAATATTACTGATGAAGATATGTTGGAAAAAACATTCTCCACTTTTCATGCATCCAATGTGCTCCTGCAGCAGCAATACCTTGAGAAAGGTTTCAAGAAATATTCTGAGCTGATTTCTTGTCTCCTTGTTGCTGAACAAAATAATGAGCTCCTAATGAAAAATCACCAATCTCGTCCTACTGGTGCCGCCCCATTCCCAGAAGCGAATGCGGCGACGTTCACCCAATATCCTTATGGGCAAATACATGGACGTGGACA